AAAAGTTCATTGTATTATTTTTTTCTTCTTGTAGGCATGTTTGAAGTTTTCCATAATAAACTTAAAAGATGATACCCTACACATAAAAACATTTTTTACAAACTGTGTTTAAAAGAGCCTCAGGGCTCTAGGAGGTTATCTTGGGACTAAGGACCAGATGAAGGAAGTGAGCTTACAGGACCCGGAGCTCTTGTTGCCAAAGGAACAGGAGCCAAAGTTCTATGGAAAATCATCCCAGTTTTAGCTGAAGAGCCCAGGGACAGCTCCCAGGCCCAGAGGTCAAGCCCCATAACTGACCCCCTCCCCCCAAAAAAAGAAAAAAAATATCCCAGTTTTCCTGGAGTCATTTCTGGTAGTAACCCAACCCAGGCTTATAAAAGCAATTATCGGGGCTGGGAAGGCGGCTCAGTGGTAGAGTGCTTGCCTTGCATGCATGAGGCCCTGGGTTTGATTCCTCAGGACCACATAAACAGAAAAAGCCAGAAGTGGTACTGTGGCTCAAGTGGTAGAGCGCTAGTGTTGAGCTGAAGAGCTGAAGGACAGCGCTCAGGCCCAGAGTTCAGGCTCCAGGACCGACCAAAAAAAAAAAAAAAAGAAAAAGTAATTATCGTTTTTTTAAAAAAAAATATGAAATAGCCTTATATTTTGGCTTCTTCCTAACATAATCAAGGTGATCCTATGGCCTGCCAATTTAAATTTTTTTTTGTCATATTGGTAGTATCTTTGCTTAGCTTGCTTGTTAACTGTCATGCTACCACTTGAGCCATACAACAGCTTGGCTTTTTTCTGGTTATTCTAGAAGTAGAGACTCACAAAATTTTCTCCCCAAACTGGCTTTGAATCTTGATCCTCCAGCTATCTGCCTCCTGAGTAGATAATATTAAAGACATGAGCCACAGATTTCCAATTGAGATCTTTAGATCTCAATTTTTTTTACTGGATGATTAGCCTCTTCTGTCTGGTGGAACCCCATATTTGTGGAAAGCTCTCTGAATATATTTCTGTAGGAAAGATGAGTATCCTATAATCTGAGTAGCCTACTAAACTTTAGTCCTTTGCCTCAGGTATTGTCATCCAATTTGCCAATCTCTTCCAGGTATCCAATCTGCACTGGCCTTTGAGGATAGACTCCAGTTTCCTGACTGACAATTATCTGCCTATACTCCTGTTCCAACCTCTACATCTGCTAAAGGATCTTCTTTCTCTGTTGCTCCTCTTCACTCTGCCTGTTTCTAGTGTTCCTCTCTTGGGTTGGTGAGACAGGATTTTGTCTGGTCAACCCTAAGTCTCAGCTGTGTGAGCTTCTAACAATAGTGTTTCTTTTCAATGTAACCCTCTGCCTTCAAAGCATGCTAAATACCTTGGGGAAGGCAGTGGTACTGCATGAGATCATGAATTTGGTGTCTTTGGAACCACTGTTCCACATAGGGAACTCAGAGGTCTGTATGCAAATTTGGCAGTGAGCCCTCATAACTCCTGAGTCTGCCAGCAATCAGTAATAGCTAAGTGTCTGGGTCACTACATGACAGGGAATCACTACCTTCTGACAGAGTGTTACAACTCTATTTCCTGATCTTAGCAGTCTGAGTTCAGACCATTTGTTTACATGTGTAGAAAGGGAAATTTCAAAACCAAAGTGGTTTTATTCCAGTGATCAAATATATTCAGAGTTGAATAATTTTCATTTACCACTAATAACACTTCATCAATATACTCATCCTTCTTCAAAGATACTGCCTTCACTTGTATTTTCAAGGTCTTTGACTTGAACTTGCCTGTATATTTCTTGCATTAACTTTACATATACTATACCTATTATTTCAGTCCTTTCAGATACCTAAGAATTCAAATCTAAAGCTGTTTTGAATGGTGAATAAAGCTAAACAACCAGCTATAATCTACCATTTTACCCTTATTGAAGTCAATATATCAAATGCAAGTTAATTCAAATCAGATGATAAAACAGTTCCTATCTTAGTTCTGTTGTAAGAATTCTTTTTTTTTGGGGGGGGGGTCCAGTTGTGGGGCCTGAACTCTGGGCCTGGGCGCTGTCCCTCAGCTCTTCAGCTCAAGGCTAGCGCTCTACCACTTGAGCCACAGCGCCACTTCCGGCTTTTTTCTTTTTGCTTATGTGGTGCTGAGGAATCGAACCCAGGGCCTCAGGCATTCAAGGCAAGCGCTCTACCACTGAGCCACCTTCCCAGCCCTGTTGTAAGAATTCTTTTCCCATCAAAATTATAAAGATACTTTCTTCTAAAAGAATTGACTATTGAAGTCTCACCCATTCATACATAGGTGGTATTTGATTCATCCAGATTTGTCCATTCATTTGTCCCCTAGTATCTTCAGGGAACTGGTTTTAAGACCACCACTGGGTACCAAAATTCAGGATGATTGAGTCACTTATATAAAATAGTGTGGTATTTGCATATAAGCCATACATATTTTCCTGTATACTTTAAATGCTATATTACCTAATATAATGCAAATGCCATTTAAACAATGTTGAATTGTTTTTAATTACTTTCAATTTGTGTAGCTTGAATGCAAGGATATATGAAGGAGGCACTGTATTTGAAAATGGTCATTTCCATCTCTGTGTGGCATCATTTACCAAACCATCCATTCTGTCTCTCACGAATCTACTATTTGGTTTATTGCATGTACCAGATTGTCCTTTCATGTGTGAGTCTTTCAGGGCTTTTCTTTCCTTTCTCTACTGTATGAGTTAATCTCCAAGACAAATTTGAAGTAAAGATTTGTCATCAACCTTGCATTTGGTAAGAAAAACATCAATCACTCTTTGATCTGATCTGGTTCCTGGTCTCAGTTCTTCAAGGCCCTTTGTACTTCAGAATCCCATTCTCAACCTCCAAGGAGAAAGATGGTATGATTTTAACTAAAATTACATTGAATCTACTGATCAATGTGGCAAGGATGCCTTTATGACAGTGAGTTTTCCTTTCTAGCAAGTTTCATTATTACCCTTTTCCCTCTATATTTGGTTTGTTTAGTTTCCTTTGTTTTGCTGTGTTTTTTTTTCTAAGACTTTTTTCTACGTATGTGGTTTTAATAGTTGCTCTAATAGTTCCTTTCTCCAGTTTAAATTACAATTTCTGTATGTTGATGACACATAGAAATGTATTTTTGTTGAAAGCCAAACAGTCTAAATCTAGTAATTTTTCTATGGCTATCACAGGCTTTCTATACAGACAAACATTTGTAGAGGGTGACAATTTTATTTCTAAATCACAGCCCTTTTTGTATTGGTGATTTTATTCCTGGGCTGACCAGGACTGTGATCCTATTTGTGTTTCCCTAGGTTGCTGAGTTGACAGGTGCATGGAGTCTTGAAAATGTTTTTGTTTGTTGAGGATGGCCTCAAATTCATTCCTTCAATTTTTGTCTTGCAAACAGTCTTTGGATCTTATGGCTTTTTGATTGGGCTGGCCTGTTCCTTCTGATCTCTGACACCTAAGTAGCTGGTGGTATTAACAGATGTGAGCAACTGCACACAAAGTATCTCTTTTTAGAAAGTTAAATTTGCTGGGTAGGTCACTATCCAATTTCTTCCTCAGTTACTTATCTTGATTTTATGCATGAAACAATATCAAGTATCACATTCATGTGTCTGACTAAGACAAAATATATGACTATGGTATAACTATGTATGCAAAATATAAAATGGTTACTACAATGATTACTGTATGCATGCAAAAGGAATGCTGGACCCTGAAAAGCTACAGAAAAGTCTCTCCAGCCACAACCCATGATAGTTTCTGCTCCATAGTGCACATTTTGATATTTCAGTAATTTTATCAACCTTTGTATACTTCTTTTAGCTGTTGTGTGTTCAGGATCTCATCCATGCTTCTCAGTGGATGACAAAGTATGTGCTAAATAGTTAAAGGTTGTCTTCTCTTTACAGGTTGGTGACACTGCCCCATTTACTATTAGGTATTTCACATTCTGGACAAAATTTAGTCCTGGACTCAATGGAAGCGATGGTAATTGCAGAAAGGAATTAGGAAAAACTCTCATTGCTGGCCACAAGTTTGTAATGGCAAACTTATCAAGCAAGCAAGAAGACAACTTCTAATGCAACAAAAGAAAAGTGTTTAAGTAGTTATTAAACTCAATCTTCTAAGGAAAAAATGCAACCTAAGACAGTTTTATTAACATGATGAAGTATATGTATCAGAAGTGATAATTATGCTTTGTCCCCAAAATACTTGTGATCAGTATGGTAAGGATCATGGTATTATACACTTTACAAATATAAAACAAAAAGACTTATTATATGGAAACTAACCCTTTGAAATATCTTACTCAAAATGTGATTTTTACAAAAACAACATGATGGGTATCAGTTTATAAAATATTTTTCTATGCTAATATGATCATATATATAGGCTAGTATGTCTTTAAACTTGTGCTGAAACCAAAGAACTGTGGTGTCTGTTACATCTCATTCATTTGGGACAATCTCTAGCATGCTAAGCTGTCAAGGGAATAAAAACCTACTCATGTTATTACACAGTATAAAATAAATGTGTTCAACAAACCATGGGTCTTTGTTTAAATTTAACTAAATTATATCAACAGGCTGGCAATATTACCATTCATTCAAAAGAATAAGATCAAATGACTAGGAACTAAAATAGCATTAGGAGCCAGTCATAAAAGATGCATGATGAAAAGGGAACCCGGCATCAGTTTCGAAAGGTAGTTCTGAATAAACTTTCTACACTGCCAACAATAAACATTCCCCTGAAAACATAGCTGCTAAATCCAGACTGTGTCATCCAGTCCTATACTTAAAAATGACATTTTCTCAAGTGGACAAAGAAACAAGTACTTATATTAAATCTCATCTAGGAGGCAGTATACCAATACAAATACTCAACCAAGGAAGAAAAGTAGATAGAAGGCACACATTTCTTTATGAACTCAAATTTGCTGTACACTAAGGCAGCAACAATACTATAAGGCCATCCTACCTGTGCTTTTTGATGCCATTAGAGAGAGCATCTCCACCACCACAGTCTTTTCCTTCAGACATTCTGTGTTTTCCACTGTTCAAGTGTTCTTCTTCCTCTTCAAAGGAGTGGGCTGTCACTGCTTCCAATCGACTCAGGGACCGCTCGGACTCAGAATCTGTGAAAGAGCAGGTTCATAGTGAATGAACTGAACTTTAGTATGAGGCTTCTACAATGGGTATCTCCCTTAATGTAGTAGGCTTTGAAACTCTAGCAGCCTGCTTTGTCCTTCAACAATCCATCCAGTACACACTTCTTCCGGGATTTTAGAAAACTTGTACCCAATAAGGCTCAAGTGAATTTCTGAGACAGGGGTACACTATACAATTAAACCAATTTTATATACAGTAAGAAGTTTATAAAGACTGTATAATTCATTAAGAAATCATGCCAGTGTTGGAGGCTTATGCCTATAATCCTAGCTACTAAGAAGCTAAGGTCTAATGATCAAGGCTTCAAACCAGCCCAGGCAGGAGACATCTGTAAGACTCTTATCTCCAATTAACCACCAAAAAGCTGAAAGTTGAGCTGTAGCTCAAGTAGTAGAGCACTAGCCTTGAGCATAAAAATTCAGTGATAGCTCCCAGATCTTGAGTTCAAGCCCCAGGATTGACACCAAAACAGTCCTGGGGCTAGAACCCAGGGCCTGAGCACTGTCCCTGAGCTTCTTTTACTCAAGGCTAGCACCACTTCTGCCTTTTACTGTTTATGTGGTACTGAGGAATTGAACCCAGGGTTTCATGCCTGCTAGGCAAGCACTCTACCACTAAGCCACATTCCTAGCCCTCAAATTTTCTTATTATTGTCCCTCTCAAAGAATCTTAAGAATAACTTACAAAAAATTAAAAATTAAAAATTCAGGTATAGTAGAAGAAAACCTGAAACAATTTTATATTTAAGGTTAAATTATATTCAATACTATAGAAACAAAAGTAAAAGTAATACATTTAAAAAATCTTTAAGAGCCAAAGACTATCAACTATGTATCAATTATCAGTCAGGCATTCTTAGGAGAAAATGCCACATTCCTCGTTGGCTACGTTTTCAGAGTGGAGCCATATGCCTGTTGGAGAATAACACAGTGACTCATTTTTCTACAAGTCATGATAGATTTAAAGATCTTTCACATTTTTTATCAACTTTGAACACCCCTAGATTCTTCTGTGTAAGCTGAAGCAGGACAATGAGGTATTAATGTGTAATAATGATCTCGTGGCTTTTGAATTGGCAAGCTAGTATCTAAACCCAGTTTTCTGACTCCTTGTTTAACACTTCATTTCAGCTCAAAACCGTAATTGCTGAATCTCCCTAGAATGATATATGATGCCTCAACTTTTATTAGGACAAAATTTCAGGATAACCATTCGGGATATCTACTCATCTGTCTTCAACTCTAGGAAAGACCTCTACACCCATTCAAGCAAACTTTTTTAAATGTATTTGCTAATGATCTGCTAAATATGTATTATAGCTGATATTTTCAGGAAAATTTTGGGCCTTTCTTTCCCCTCTCCTTCATTCCTTAATTCAGGGAAAAGCATGGAGCTTTATTGTTATCACACTGAGTTAATTCAGAAAAACAATTGTTGGATCATAGTGTTAGCTGCACAACCACAGGATGGACAATATAGTACACCTTGAGTTCTGATGTTAGACCCTTTGAATGATGTAAGTTATTTGCAGAAAGATTGTAGCTTTGCTCTCTTAGACTCCCCATAATAAAGAAACACACAAGTAATCACTCTTCATCCAGTTTTGCTTTCTGTGGCTTCAGTTGCCTCCAGAAAGCAACATTAAATTAAAAAACATTAAGCTAAAAATTTCAGGAAGAAAATTTTAAACTGTTTTAAACTGTTAACTATTTTGAGTAGCATGAAATCCACCTTTGTTTATCCTGCCTGGACTAACGACAGAGAAAGGATCAGTTCATCTTCAAGTTACAGGAAAGGATACCAAGAGAGGTAGTGCAGTATTTAATGTAAAAAAACAAAACAAGGGGCTGAGAAGGTGGCTCAGTGGTAGAGCACTTTCCTTGCATGCCTGAGGCCCTGATTTCGATTCCTCAGTACCACATAAGCAAAAAAAGCTGGAAGTGGTGCTGTGACTCAAGTGGTAGAGTGTTGGCCTTGAACTGAAGAGTTCAGGGACAGCACCCAGGCCCAGAGTCCAGGCCCCATGACCAACAAAAACAAAACAAAACAAAAAAACTGAAAAGCAGGCCAGGTACTAGTGAGTCATGTCTGTGATCTTACTTATTTGGGAGAAAGAAACAGAGGAATATGGTTCAAAACCAGAATAGGAAAAGATCTCAAGATAGCCCCTCTCCCATTTCTACCAATATCTAGGCTCAGTGGCTTGCACCTATAAGCTGTATTCCAAAATCAGGAAAATTCAGATCTAAGCCAGTCCAGACCCCCATCTTAACAGAAAAGGCAGGGCATGGTGGAATCCATCTATCACCTCAGCTATGGCAGGAAGTATAAAGAAGAATCACCATCCAGGTTAGCCCAGTGAAAATCCAGATATTATCTCAACAGTAACCTGAGCAGAAAGTTTGGAACTGTGGCTTAAGCAACAGAATGTCTGCCTATCAAGTATGAAGCCCTGAGTTCAAATCCAAGTACCACCACAGGAAGTGAGAAAGGAAGGGAGGGAAGGAGAAAGAAAGAGAGAAGGAAAGTGAGAGGGAGGGAAGGGGCTTGTTGGATACAAGGGAAAACGGAGGCAAAACTTAAACCTGAAGATGGTAATAGCACTCTTGGGAAGTAGCCATGCCTAGTTTTTCATATCCATATTTTAAAACTTGTTTCATATGGAAAACAGTAAGACTTCAGAAACAACTTTATCTGCATTAGTATTATGATGCCTTCTTAGTTTATAATTTAGATGTCAGAAAATCAAAAGGCAATCAGGCAAAAAACTCAAGCATTTATGAAACATTACTATGCACAGGATATTGCTTATGAGATACAAATTATAAAGCAGTGACAAGCCCATCTAAAAAGACATTTTCTTGTGTGTAGATTCAAGCAAGTAAACAATAAGAGGCTATAAGAGTTTCTATGAAGCAAAGACAGACTTTTCCCCCAAATAAGCTAGAATTATCATGTAAGTGGTCACAAACAGATTAACAGGGTAGAACTCAAATATTGTAATTCCTTAGAAAGGCAAAGTAAAAGCCCAACAATAAACTCCAGGAAATAGGTACTTGCTATAGGAGGGATGGGGCCAAGGGGTAGAGAAATGAAGAGGAAAAGACAGGGAGAATGCAGTCACGAATCCAATACATATATTACAAAATTCAAAAAAGTAAGGGAAGCTATAATCCTACCTACTAAGGAGGCTGAGATCTGAGGATTACAGTTCAAAGCCAGCCTGGGAAGGAAAGTCCAGGAGACACTTATCTCCAATAAACCACCAGAAAACAGAAATGGCTCGTGGCTCAAGTGGTAGAGCACTAGTCTTGAGCTGAAGAGCTGAGGGACAGCACCCAGGCCTAGAGTTCAAGCTCCATGACCACCAACAACAACAACAAAAAAGTAAGGGAAGGGATGGGGGTGGGGTGAGGGTGAGAATGTGGAAAGGGATGATACTGAGGAAGATGCATTGTATTCATACACTGCTTTGTTAAATGGCAACTTCTTTGTACAACAACTTAAAGATAATTAAGTGGCCAGAACAGGTGGCTCATGCCTGTAATTCTAGCTACTCAAGGAACTGAGAGCTGAGGAATGTAGTTTGAAGCCAGCCAGGAAAGCCTGTGAGACTCTTATCTCCAATTAACCAACAAAAAAAACAGAAGTGGAACTGTGGTTTAAAGTGGTAGAATGTGGGGCTGGGATGGTAACTCAGTGGTAGAGTGCTTGCCTTGCATGCATGAGGCCCTGGGTTCGATTCCTCAGCACCACATAAGCAAAAAGAAAAAAGCCAGAAGTGGCGCTGTGGCTCAAGTGGTAGAGTGCTAGCCTTGAGCTGAAGAGCTGAGGGACAGCGCCCAGAACCAGAGTTCAGGCCCCACAACTGGACCCAAAAACAAAACAAAAAAACAAATAAAGTGGTAGAATGCTAGCCCTGAGCGAAAAAGCTCATGGACAGTGCTCAGGCCCTGAGCTATTTTTCAATTTTAATCCTGTTTGTATTTTTTCATTAACTTTAAGTACTTGTACAAAGAGGTTTCAATTCAATATGTCAATTTATGAATACAGTACATCTTGATCAATGTCACCACTTCTCTCTCTCTCAACTCTCATTCCACTTTCACATATGTACATTGAATATTATCAACGCATTCAACCATCCTTCATTTTCACTCATCTGCCAAATCTTACCATGCTTAGTTCACTTCTCCCTTCCTCGTGTCATGTGCAAGGCAAATAAGAGTGAAAGAACCATGATATCTTGGTCCCTGTCCATGGTCCAGCAGAAGTAAACTGGAGCTCAGCACATTTTTTTCTAGGAACAATCACAGAAGTCTGAATAGGGCCAGTGGGCCATAAGGGAAGCATCAGTTAATTTTACAGTGGAAAAGTATGAGGAAAGGGTTGTGGCTGCAGACTGAGCTAAGGAAATTGACAATGAGTAAGAGTGGGGTAGGAGGACAGAGTTACAACACAGGAACTGCTGCAGGCAGAGGGAACAGCATGATCCAGTGCAGGAAGCAAAGAAGTACTCAGTAAGATAGCAGACAACATAGAATAGAGTTGGGGTGGGTAGAAAGCTATGACTCAGTCATAAAACCGACTATAGAAGTAAAAATTCAAAGCAGGAAGTGGCATAACTGAATATAAAATGAAGATAGGAATGAGGTAGTATATTACTATACGCCATTGAGGTTCTATACTTGCTAGAAGTAAATCAATATGTTTTCATACCTCAACAGCAACAGAAGCATTAGATAAAAGCTAGTGGCTTAAAAATATGAGATAAAAACCAATAATTTAAAAACAAAAGTTCAGTTATTTCTGTTACAATGAAGAGAGACATCTAAAACAATATGAAACAGATTAGAAACTTATTTTATTGGCAATAGTGAACCATTCTTAAAGGATCCTACCTTCTTAGCATCAATCACACCCATCTATTTCCAGTATGGCACTGTTCCATAATCATTCTTAAAAT